ACACACACAGGCAGGCCAAGACTTTTTTTTTTTTTTAAAGATTTATTATGAATATAGGGTTCTGCCTGCATGTGTGCATACACACCAGAAGAGGGCACCAGATCTCACTATAGATGGTTGTGAGCCACCCTGTGGTGGTTGCTGGGAATTGAACTCAGGACCTCTGGAAGAGCAGTCTGTGATCTTAACTGCTGAGCCATCTCTCCAGCCCCCATACACATTTTTTAAAGTTATTATTCAAGATAAGCAATGGTACTTTGTCTTTATTAAAACTGATCTTTGAAGTCAGGCATGGTAGCACTGGCTTCAAATCACAGCTCTGGGGAGCAGAGGCAGGAAGATCAGTTGTTCACGGTCATCTTCGGCTACACAAGGAATTCCAGGGCAGCCCGGGGCTACCTGAGGTCCTGCCTCAAGGTGAAAAGACAGAGACAGCTGTACAGCTTTTTCATCACAGAGCCCTTGAGACCTAGCCCACAGGCTGTGCGGTAACTGAAAGGAATCTCAGCAGGCGGGTGCCATAGAGGAGGCTTGGGCTACGGTGACCTCTCGGAATAGACACCCAGTGTCACTCATCCTACTGTGTCCCCGGCCCACTCCTCCAGAGTCCCAAACCACCTGGAAGCCAGACCCACCCTCTGATGTGCTCTGCATGGGTGGTCTCCTGGGCAAGGAGGAGAGCTGGACAGGGAGAACGAAAGGCAAATAGAAGACTCTCAGGACAGACACACGTGGGGACACACGGACACACACTCTCTGGCCAGTGCACTGTGGCAGCACAGAGGCCGGCCTTAACTCTAGCCATTTCCCCTGAAGAACACAGAACCACACAGCAGCCCTTAGCAACAGAAAGCTCCAATCTCACAGGGTTCTAACAGCCCCCCTCCCATCCCAAGCCTCTTCTGGTACATTTGGGGTTTTTTCTTAAATTTATTCCTTCTGTGTCCGTCTGTCTGTCTGTGTGTAAGTGCATGGCCAGCGGGGTTAGAGGTGACCTGTGGGCGGGGCTTGGCTTCTGGCTCAGGTCTTCTTGCTTGGTGGCAAGCGCTGTTCCTCGCTGGGCCGCGCCCTCGCCCCTGCTTTTGTTTTCAGGCCCCTGATCAGGCAGGAGAACCGCCTTAAGGCTGCTTGACACTCGGCCTCCGCCTCCCCGGTGCTGGGAATACAGTCCTGCGCCCCCACGCTGCCTTCATCTCTCATTAAGCTCCGGCCTGCCCGGCTTCAGTCTGGCTGCGCCTGCGGCCGCCCCAGCTCGGCCTGCCAGGCCGGCTGCTCTCACCTCGGGCTCTTGAGCTTGCTGTGGTTCACACACTCCCCACACTAAGCTAAGATATACAACCTCATTCACTCTCTGGGCAAAGGTCCTAAAACCCTTGAAGTTTCCTGCCTGATAAAGGGTCACAACGGCATCTTCTGTCTGCGGTTAGACTTCTAGCTGGGTTTCTATAACCTCTGAAAAGTACCTGATGGTAGGAAGGTTGTTGTCAAGGGCGGGGGGGAGGGGCAGAGGCAGCTCTCTAACCTTCCACCTAACTGGTCCTTAGCCAACAGCTACTGATTTAATGGGCCATCCCAGCTCCTAGCATGATGACACCTTAAAGACCCAAAAAGATGGGGTTAGAGAGTGTCCAGGGAGGCTGGCACCCACAGGCATGGAGCATCTCAGTGCTCCCCTGGCTGCCACGGTGTTGATGCGTTACAGTGAAGCAAGAAGCAATAAATGTGGGAGGGTCCTGGAACGTTCTTGATTTTTATAGCTGACAGTCCAGAAGCACAAGAGGCCTGGACTTGAGGCCAGCACCTTGGCCTGAGGCGGTCTTGTAGGACCGAGGTCCTGCTCGGGGAGGGTTGGCAGGCAGCGTCAGAGCTGAACCACACTGCAGGTGCTTGCTCTGCCAGTTTCCACCAGGAACCGGGGAAGCGTACAGCGTGGGAAGAACCCCCCATGAAGGGCTGTCACGAGGGAACTGGTCCACCTCCTGCAGGCCGTCCTCTGACCTCCATACACACCCTGAGGCAGACCTAACAAGCAGAACGTTAACTAGAAGAAAAACTGTGTTTCCTCCTTTTACTCACATATCTCTTGCATCACTGAGAGTCAGTTTCTCAGAGCTCTCTCCCTTGACCGTGTCAAAACCTGCCCTCAGCATTTGGTGCTGTTTCTAAGGCCCCAAGAGCAGACTTCTCGTTTGCTGGTTCCCAGGCCTAGCAAGGAGCCCTGCAAAGAGGAAGCACCAGTCTTCGCCTGTTGCAGGAACATGGCTAGAGAGCTGTCCCCACCAGACGCTGAGAGCACGGCAAGGGCAGGGCTGAGGAGCTGCCGCAAAGGAAGGCAAGAGGCCGGAGTTTCTGCCAGCATCTCCCTCCAGCTCGGAGGAGCAGGGCGGATACGGCCTGCAGTGCAAGGGGACGGTGCGGGGAGGGGAAAGCAGGAGAGGCGTCTGACCACAGCAGAGGCACAGCCCCGGCCTCCCCTGCGAGGGGAGAATGCTTAGTTGTTTAGCTTAGATGACAGCCCCTGCTCTGTCTGCGGTGGACATGGGAAGTGGCTCTGTCTGCTGTCCCTTTCGGTCTCACTTTCTGCTCCTTCAAGTATCTCTGTAAATTCTCAAGGCCTCTGGAGATTCTCCCAAAGATTTCAAAGCAGGTGAAACCGCAGGGCAGCCCAGCCCTAAGTCCTTCTGAATGCGTCTCCATGTGGCAGAGTGCTCCTCTGCAGACCAAAGTCCTTCTGAACGAGTCTCCATGTGTCCGGGCGCTCCTTTGCAGCTCCTGAGAGAGACGTTTCTGTTTCCAGGCCTAGGTTCAGCTCACCCCACTCCTGGAGCTGCTTACACACTTCAGGGTCCGCCTTCCACAGAAAGCCAGCCAGCCCTCCGAAGCTGCCTGTCTTTACCAGCATCATGAAGCCTGAGATTTCAAGTGACAGTTCCGCCCCTAAACTGAGGATCTGGAAAAGCCTTGTCTATTGCTGCTTTGGTTTTGCTTCAAGACAGGTTCTTAGTACATAGGCCTGGCAGGTCCCTCAGCCTCAACCTCTCTCAGGTACTGGGACTGTAGGCCCTGGGGTACCATGCTTGGACCGCTCCCCCCCCCCTCTCGATCCTGGTGCCCTTCCACACCTCCAGAGGGACCCAAGTCTTTCTCCCACGTACAAGGTACAAGCTGCTCTTTTGGAGGAAGTGTGTGAACTCGGTGTGGAGCAGGCCTGAGGCAGAATGGCTGCTTGAACTCAGACAGCCCGCCCCAGAGCAATTCATCAGGACGTTATTTTCATCTCCCTTTGAAGCCCTCGCTGCCCTCTCCTGGGGTGCTAGTGTCAGCAGAAGTCGGTGGGGAAGTGGTGCCTGGGAGTTATCAAAAGAGGCAATTTGTGGAAAGGGGAAGTATGCTCGAGGTCCCAGAAAGGACTGGAGGAGCTAGTGGGGAGAAGAGGCAGCGCGGAGAGACGGCCCGTCTCCTAACACCACCAGCGTCCGAGGAGACCCGAGCCGAGGCATGGATCTGCAGGGTAGGGAAGGTGGACCACACAGAGGCACGAGCCAGCACGAGGCCGGCCTCTGGGCTGCGGAGCCAGGAGGGCTGGAGGATCTCAGAGGGCGGCACTTGCCTGGAGGGAGGAGGAAGGGAAGGGGCAGGTGGTTAACCTCCGGGCCCCTCAGGAGGAAAAGCTTTCGGACTGCGGAAGGCCCAGCAGGAAGAGTGGCTGGATGGGATCAACAAGGTAAAAAGAAAGAATGGAGGGGGAGAGCCTGGAGGGGCCCCAGGCCGAGAGGGGTGACCCTGGCTCTTATCTGCCCCTAAACAGCAATTCCTCAGTGACCCCAAATACAGCAGCGATGAGGATTTGCCCTGCAAACTGGAAGCCTTCAAGAGTGAGGACTGTGGTGGCGAGGGAAGCCGGGGGGCTGGGGCACGGGGTGCAGAGGATCACAGCGGCCAGCAGAGCAGAGCTGATGTCCATGGTGGAGGAGGGAAGGCTGCCTCTATGCTTCTCCTTCCTGTCTGCGCGGTCCTTCCCTGCCCTCCCCATCTCAGCACCCCCATGGGCTCCCTCACAAGCCTCTACCCGCACTTCCTCCGCCAGCCCCTCCCCCACACCTTCCCTGCTACCCTGGCACTGGTCAGCCACCTCTTCCTCAAACCCCCATCAACAGCACTTACTCGCTTTGCTCTTGTTCTCATCCAGAGAAGTACATGGAGTTTGACCTGAACGGAAATGGAGATATCGGTGAGAAATGGGTGATTTGGGGGCGTGGGGCCCTAGGCAAACGGAGGGCTCCTCTACGAGTTCTGTGCACAGGAAAGGTCCCGCCACAGTCAATAATACAAGGGTGGGTACATGGAGGTACAAGACGGCGGGTGGGGGGAGGGACACCCTCTTTTCCCACCTTGATTTCCCACCTTCAGATATTATGTCCTTGAAGCGAATGCTGGAGAAACTCGGGGCTCCCAAGACCCACCTAGAGCTAAAGAAATTAATTAGAGAGGTGTCCAGCGGCTCCGAGGAGACATTCAGCTACTGTGACTTTCTCAGAATGATGCTGGGCAAGAGATCCGCCATCTTGAGAATGTGAGAGTCCAGTTCCAATGACCTTGGACTTCCCTGTCCTCTCTATCCCTAGCCCTGGCCTTGTCCCCAGCAACCACCCTTCCGTCTTGGAGACTCTTTCAAGACCCTTCCCCATCCCCAGCCCATGCGCAGCTCCAGTCCCCTCGGCTGGCCCCAGCACTGTGCTCCCTGCCCCACTCTTCCTCCCCTTCCTCTCTTCCAGCCACCTACGGTTCACTCCCTTGAGTGGCCCTGGTGTCTATGTCTCTTCCAGGATTCTGATGTATGAGGAAAAAAACAAAGAACACCAGAAGCCAACGGGTCCCCCAGCCAGGAAAGCTATTTCTGAGTTGCCCTAATTGGAGGCGAAGGGGCTTCTAATGACAGCAGCACGGAAAAGAAGTCATGAGCCAGAGCCAAACTAAATAAACGATGCTCCCACACCAGGTCAAGACCGCCTTGCTTTTATTGGGGGACCCCTGGCCTGGGTCTAGGGGAGAAGGAAGCATCTCTGAGGGGAGGGCAATCAGCCCAAATAATCCATCCACCCAATATTAAAAGGGTTAGCTATGGTAGACAGTGCTTTGTACTTGAAAGTCTTCCAGAGTTTTAAGACAGCTTTGACCTCAAAGGATATAGGCAGTTGATTAAAGGCACACGCCTTTAATCCCGGCACTTGGGAGGCAGAGGCAGGCAGATCTCTATGAGTTCAAGGCCAGCCTGGTCTACAAAGAGAAGCTCTCTTAAAAACTAAACCAAACCAATAAGAATACAGGTGTGATATCTGTGCGGGCTCCTGGGGCTTCATAAAGAGTCAAGGTCATCCTGCCCAAGTCTTCATCTCAACGTTTGTGACACTGACAAATCCTTCAGCCTCTCAAGCTTTACTGAAAGTAGAAATGACAGCTGAGCTGTTTGCTGTTTGTTTGTTTTTTGGGACAGGGTTTCTCTGTGTAGCTCTGGCCATCCTGGAACTCTGTACACCAGGCTGGCCCTGAACTCAGATCCACCTGCCTCTCGAAAAGGCTGGGATCAAAGGCGTGCACCAGCTCGGCTCTGCTGGGAGCTAAGCTGTTGTGCTTGGCCTATCGAAGTCCTCAGCAGTGTCTGAGCCCTGACTGAACAGACGCTTGGAAGAAGGAACCAGCGCTACTGGATGGAGCGAGGGTCTCATGACCCTGTACAGCTAAACAGGACATTGGGATCCTTGTGAGGAAGAATGACAGAAGTCTGGTCTAGAGCAATGGCTAAAGCTCAGTGGTAGAACACTTGCCTAGCCCTAGGTTCAATTCCCAGCACTGCCAAAAGCAAAAGCCCTGTCTACTAATGGAGGGAGGAGGCGTGTATCGGAGGCCACCTGGGCAAATACAGTGTCTAACTGATAGAAATGGCGAACAGCCAAACAAACCAGCCAGCCCAAACTCTCCGTGCAGCACAGGCTGCCCTTCTGCTTTAGTACTGAGGTTACTGGCCAAATCGGCGTCCTTTTGTTCTCCCCAGATAATTATCCTTGCCAGCAAGAAGCTCTTTAAGTGCCCATCCTGGCTCATCTTGCCAAGGGGCGCCCTCTAGTGTAGAATTCTCATGCAGGCAGGGGGAAGAATCGGGATTCTTCAACCTTTGGCAGCCTTTGGAGCTGCAGCTTCTTGGCAGGTGAGCTAGACTCTTCAACCCTTGGAGCAGGCAGAGTTTCCTGTCCTGCGGTCCTGGCAGTTGTCTGTAACTGTGAAAGCTGTGACTGCGGCCTGCAGACTCTCCTCTCCGCTTCTTTTATTCCTTTAGTTATTACTTTACAAATATGAACGTTTTTGCCTTCGTGTAAGTCTATGTCCACATGTGTGTCCAGAGCCTGTGGAGGTAGAGAGCGAGCAGCAGATCCCTGCAGCTGGAGTTACAGACTGTTCTGAGCTACCATGGGGGTGCTGGGAATTGAACCCTGGTCTACTGTAAGAGTGTGGCAAGTGTTCTTAACCTCTGAGCTATCCTTCCAGGCCCCCCCTTTTTTCTGAGGCAGCGTCTCAGACCAGGCTGTCCTGGAACTCGGGAGACCTGCCTGCCTCTGCTTCCTGAATGCTGGGATTCACGGGTGTGCCGCCAGCTCCTCTGTTTCAGTCTAGTTTTCCATCCTTCAGCCTCAGCTCTCTGTCTGTTCTCCTGCTCTTCCCCTTGTGCAGCCCACATGCTCTCAGGCTGACCTGCTGCCTCCTCTGCCGTCTCGGCGCTGCTTGCTTCGGCTGCCAGCTCAGGCCCCACCACCGAAAGCAGGCAGGGGAAGATCAGCAGAGAGAAGGCTTTAACTGGGCCCAGGGTCCTAACATCAAGGAGGGCACCACAGCAGCTACCCCGGCGTCTCCCAAGTGAGCCAGAGGCCGTCGCTTACACACCCAGGAACATGGCAGTGCCAATCACAGCGAACCCCTCATGCAAACATTTCAAACGGTAAAACTGGCAGAACTGTCCCTTAGCAGTAGTTTCAGCAGCAGCTCTGCTGGGCCACTAAAGGTAGCCCTCTCCTTCCGGCCTATGCGGAAACAGCAGAAGGTACTCTAGAGGTACGGATGCCTGTGTGGTAAAAAGCTCAGCACGAGCTACGTGAACTGCCCTAGCCGAGCTGTCCCCGCCGCGGCTGGTGTAGTCGGCTGCCATTATCGTTTCTCCACTGCTGTGGAGTGTTCAAAAGAGTGCATGTTGCAGAGGGTAGTCTGGCTCTCTTTGACCGACTTCCTCTCAAGGAAGCCAGTGAGCGTAGGAAGGGAGGGTCCAACGGGCACCATCTAGGCAGCAAACTGTCCCATGCTCCAGTGTCTTGTTTACATGGCAATGGTCAGAACAGGTGCTTACAATAAAACGTCAAGAAATCATTGTTAGTAGTTTATAACAACTTTAACAGATTTTAACAGTACCTAGCGCCCACTGCCGCAAGAAAGGTGTTTCAAGATTACAATCACAGGCTAATTCTTAACTGTGTTCTGTTAACTTTTCATCTTCATTGTCCCTGTCGGACAAGTGATTCCTTTATTTATCTATATCAGCCAGACACAGGCCTGCCAACCTTTGCTTCTGCTCACTTGTTTTCTGGACCTGAACTGTATGTACCCTTTGAAGACTAAGATTTGCATCATATTTCTGTGTGTGTGCATGTGCGAGAGAGAGAGAGAGAGAGAGAGAGAGAGAGAAAGAGGCAGGTACATACAGAGGCCAGAGGACAACCTTGGCTATCATTTCTCAGCTGATATCCACCTTGGTTTGTGTGTGTGGCTTTGGGATGGGTTTTCTCACTGGGCTTAGCCTAACAGGTGAGGCAGGCCCAGCGAGTGCTAGGGGATCCATGTGTCTCCTGCTTCTGCAGCACTGGAAATACAAGCAGATGCTAAGTTCTCCATTTCATCCCTCTCTTGTCATACTTCTTGAAGGTTTTTTTTTGTTGTTTGTTTTTTGTTTTGTTTTGTTTTGTTTTAGAGCATATTCCTCTGCCTCCGCAATATCTCATGCGTGTCTCTGGCACTTCAAACTGTTACCGATGGCCGCTGGAGAGACAGCTCAGCACTTGCTGTTCTCTCAGAGGACCTGGATTTGAGTCCCAACAATCTGGGAGCTCACAACCACCTGTAAGTCCAGTTCCAGGGCATCCAACACCCTGTTCTGATTTCATCTTGGGAACCAAAAACCCACTTGGAACATCTGAATACATGCAGATAGCCATCATACCCATTAAATACAAATAAGTAAAATCTAAAGAATGTTTTTCTGGGGCTGGGGAAATGGCTCAGAGGATGAGGTACTTGCAGGCATGAGGACCTACGTTTGGATCTCACGGCGCTTAACAAGTGCCTGTAACTCCAGCACGGGGGCGCAGAGAGGAAGATCCCTGGAGCTCATTGGCCAGTCCACCTGGAATCTCCGCTCAACCGCCCAACTATCCGAGTTCACTAAAAGAACGTGTCTCAAAAAATGAAGTGAACCGTCTGGGGGAGACCTCCGGACGTCAACCTCTGGCTTGCACAAGCATCCACGGGGCCGGTGCATAAAGGAATTAACAAGAAAATGCTGAATGGGTAGTAAGCCTGGTGAGAGGCAAAGGATTCTAGTCAAGAACTAAGAAACAAAGGGGAAACAGGTACTACCGGTAAGACCGAAATTCACTGTCGAAAGAACAAAGTGTCAGCAACATTACCCATAAAAACCCGTTTTTTAAAATTACAGAGCATGAAATTAAATGTCCACCTTAGTTATTCGCTGCTAAAATCTGGAAGCGCAGATCATTCCTGGTCTTTGTTCCAATCATTTGCATATATTATGCAAATGTCCAGAACTACGAGAAGAACGCCTCCTCGGGCGAACGTCAAGGATACTCGCCTCCGGACCCTCTCATTGGCTGGCCTAGCCACTTCATTTGCATGGCGTGCTTTGATCGCGGGGGAGCCCCGCCTCCCGGACGCGTTTAGCTCTCCCCAAGGGACGCCAGCCCCGAGAGTCTCCGCCCTCGACCGGCTCATCCCTTCGGCTCGTCGCAGGTCTTTCGGCCTTCTCCGCTGAGAGCGTCGGGGGCCTGGCACCGTTTTCCTGCGTCTCTCTCCGCGGCCATCCTTCCGCGGACGCAGCGCGCATGCGCCGCCCCTTTCTCCCAACCTCCGTCGTGTAAATTCTGCGCCCCAACGGCCCGGCGTTCCGCCCGGTCTACGCGTCTCAACTGCCGACGCCGCGGCGCCTCCCTAGCCAACCGGCGTCCTAGCGTCTGTAAGTCCCTCCCCCTTATGCAAATGCCGTCCGCACACACCGCCTCCATTTTTAAAGTAGGGACGGCCCTGAAGTGCGGAGGGCCACGGAGAGCCGGGGCCCCGCCCTCTATGCAAATCAGGGGGCGTGCCCAGCGCGCAGGGGGGCGGGAGTAGGGGGTGCTCCCGGGGGCGGCGGTTGCCCGGATGGGCCGTTAGTCGGAGCCCAGCCGCGGAGTGAGCGAGGGAGACGGGAGGAGCCGAGCGCGGCGCCATCCGCCGCCATCCGCCCCCGCCCCGCCGCCATCCGCCCCGGGGAGCCTCTCAGCCCGGGTCCCGGACCCCCGCGCACCCGGCCAGGTGAGTCTGGTCGAGCCGCCGGGCGCTGACGCCCTTTCCGGCGCGGGGCGGCGGCGGCGGCGGCGGCGGAGGAGGAGGCGGAGGCGGCGGGCCGGGGGAGAAGCTGCCATCAGCCGCCGCCGCCATCTTGTCGTCCTGCCGCCGGCGCGCCCCTCCCCCTCGGCCGGCGCCGGCCGCTCCCAGGCCGCCGTGGAGGGCCGGGGCCCGCCCGCAGTCCCGGCAGCCCTGGCCTCCGGGCGCCAGGCCGCGCGCCCGGGGCCGCCCGTCGACGTCCCCTTTGAGGCTCTTTCGTGTTACCGGACCCCGTTCTCCTCGCTCCCTGCGTCGAGTCGCCCCCGTCCCGGCGCCCCTTCCGTCCCGCGCCTCCGCCCCTCTGCGTTCTCCAGGCGTTTTCCTTTTCCCTGCTGGCCCCGTGTCCTCCATTCTCTCTTCTTCCCGGCTGTCCTGAGGCTGCCCCACTGCAGCCTTTCTCAGCCGTTCTCTCTGATTCAGTTCGGCTGCCCTGCCATTCCCCCTCCCCCCTTTCCACCATCGTTTCACCGAGGCCTCCTTAGGTCTCGTAGTCCCCGGCTTGTGGGGAAGCTCTCTCCCCGGCTGTGGCTTTCCTCCCAGGCCTCCATGCCTTCTTCCTGTCTCCCATCGCTTTTCTTCACACCGTTCCCACCCACTGATGTGCCTGGTCACCACTCGAGAGTGGCCCTAAGATGGAGAGTGCGGCCTGCCCGGGGAACAAGGGCTGCTGAGGAAACAAAATGACTGCTTACGGAGAGGTCCGACAGGACAAAAAACCGAGTTGGTTCTGGTTTGGCCTTCTGCGGCCTGGCCCGTGGTTGCAGGGAGTTCTCAGGCTAGTTCCATGATGCTTTGTCTGACCTCCGTCTTACACAGGATATACCGGAGTCCACTAGTTTTTGTTTTTTTTTTTTCTTCCCCTGCGAGCAGAGCCGTTTCCAAGAGCCGGGGAGGGGACAAGTTAAGGGACGGATGCAGTGTTCTGCTCACAAGCGTTTTGTTCTGCCTGGGAGTGTGTGGAGGCCCTGTTGTTTAGTGAGGCTCATTCTGGCACCAGCCCCCAGCCTGGCAGAGCAAGCTCATAAAAATCCTTAAGCTCCGAATGCCTTCCTTCAGGCCTCCCCAGATGGGACGGAAAGCTGCTGGGAATGGGCCCTGGGAGCCAGGGCCCTGGGGTGTGATTAGGGAGCTGGTGTCTAAGGGGCTGGCACTCTGAAGTTCGCCTGCTCCCTGGAGTTGTGTACCTCATTCTGGTTCTCTCTGGGGTTTGGGCCGTGGTTGTTCAATTTTATCATATATCTCTGAAATGATTTTGGAGTGAAAGATGATTGCTCTCAGAATAGGAGAGAAGCTGCTGCTGTCTCAAAAGTGGCACAAAGGATGGAGCTTGGGTTTTATTTGCTTTTCTTTGTCAGGATCTGTCAGAAAGGGTGACTGCCTATGGAGGCTGAGCGCAGTGTGATTAAGATTGTAGTTGTTTCCACAAGCTAGAGAGCCGCCACATACCATTCCCCAAAGAGAGTGAAGAGGGCTTCTAGGCTTTTGTCTGTGGAGGAGGCAGAGCCTGAGCTGCCCTTTCTGGCCCACAGGCACCAGCTCGTTTTGGGGGAGGTGCCTGCAGGACCCAACGTACTCAATGAGCTTCCAGCGCAATGTCCGATCGCTCGGGGCCGACTGCCAAGGGGAAGGATGGAAAGAAGTATTCCTCGCTCAACCTGTTTGATACGTATAAGGGCAAGTCCTTAGAGATCCAGAAACCCGCCGGTGAGGGTCTTGCAAAGACGTTCCTAATGTTTCCAGGCTGAGCGTGCAAGGGCATAGGCTTTAGAGCTCTTCAGCAAAGCTGCTGACAGGCCAGGAACACTGGGTAAAACACCAGTCATCCTCCTGCAAAGGCGTGTTTCTGGTTGCCTGTCCTTGGACACGTAAGAATTGGAGGCAAAGAAACGTGGATTTGGAAAGATCTGGGGCCAGCTTGCTCCCCGCAGGCCCAGGATCAACCATCCCACACAGAAGCAGGGATTAGAATGTATCTCCCTTTTCCCAGGAGAGTGTAGAGATTACTACTGAGTAATGGAACGGCTTCTGAGAAAAATGCACAGTGAGAAGCTAGTCGGATATTGAGGACTGTCCACATGGCTTCTGTGGATGGGAGACTGTTGGTTCTCCTTGGTGAGGCATTTTTGACCCTTTCTCCACCTTTTCTTCAGTTGCCCCTCGACATGGCCTGCAGAGTCTCGGAAAAGTTGCCATTGCCCGGCGTATGCCGCCCCCAGCCAACCTTCCAAGCCTGAAAGCCGAGAACAAAGGCAATGACCCCAATGTCTCACTAGTGCCGAAAGACGGAACAGGATGGGCAAGCAAACAGGAGCAGTCCGACCCCAAGAGGTAGACAGCGCTGGGGCCTGAGTGATGAGGCTCTTGTCTTTACTTGGGGAGTATGCTGAGGCGTAGTCTGCTTCCGCCGCGGAAGAGGCAGGGAGTCGCCTGAGCCCTCGTTCGCTAGGTGACAGAGGTGAGGCCTCGAGCTACTTATATAGGTGGAGAGAGCGTGAAGCAGCGGGCAGACCGTCTGATGGCTTACTTTGTCCTAGTGTTTGTAGGTGGGAGCGACAGGCTAGGGTCAGTTCCAGCTTTTACCGTTGGAGAGCTGAGGGAGAGTCACTTCACACTCTGGATAACCTTTCCACCCTGCTGTGCCCCCAGTTCCGATGCCTCAACCGCTCAGCAGCCGGAATCGCAGCCACTGCCGGCTTCACAGACGCCTGCCTCCAACCAGCCGAAACGACCCCCACCAGCCCCCGAGGTACCTGGAGAGCTAGAGGGGTTAGAGGAAGAGTGGCGCTTGCTCTTCCCCCTCACCACCGCTGTCACCTCTGCTTCCCCAGAACGCTCCTTCGGTTCCAAGCGGGGTAAAGTCCTGGGCACAAGCCAGTGTCACCCATGGAGCCCATGGAGATGGTGAGTGCAGGAGTGAGTGAGTGGGTGAGTGGGGCCCCTGGATGGCAGGCGCCCTGTGTACCTACATCCCCAGTCTGCTCCCCCTCATGGCAACAGGTGGAAGGGCATCAAGCCTACTGTCGCGATTCTCTCGAGAGGAATTTCCGACCCTGCAGGCGGCTGGCGACCAGGACAAGGCTGCCAAGGAAAGGGAGTCTGCCGAACAGTCGTCTGGGCCCGGACCAAGCCTCCGCCCCCAAAGTGAGTGGCCACCTGTTTGAGTAAGTGGCTGCCTCAGGACCAGGATAGTGCCTGCTTTGGGGGAGAGCTCCATGTTGTGGGACTCAACCTTCCTCTCCATCGTTTTTGATGCACCCCTTTCTTTCCCCCAAATCAGTAGTAACGTGCCTCTTCCCCTCTTTGCATTTTCCAAATACAGATTCTACCACTTGGAGGGATGGAGGTGGGCGTGGCCCTGATGAGCTGGAGGGCCCGGACTCCAAACTTCATCATGGTCATGATCCCCGGGGTGGGCTGCAGCCTTCAGGCCCACCCCAGTTCCCTCCCTACCGCGGAATGATGCCGCCCTTTGTGAGTTCGGCTCTCTTACTTGGAGTGGTCGCCCTGGAAGCCTGAGTGTTGAGAGTCAGGACTTAGTCTTTGGAAGACTCAGAAAGCAGAGCCTAGTGAGGCGGGGGGGGGGGGGGGAGGAATGGTGTGTTCCTGGGGCTTGCAGGCTGTTCCTCCCTCCCAGCAGCTGTTGTTGGGCCCTTTTGCAGATGTATCCCCCATATCTCCCGTTCCCTCCGCCGTATGGACCCCAGGGGCCTTACCGTTACCCGACTCCTGATGGGCCCAGGTGAGCAGTCAGTCGGATTCTGGGTGGTTACTGGGGGCAGGGTAAGGCCGATTGGGGAGAGGTTCAGATTTGCCTGTGATTGTACTACGTGCTGTATCTGACGCCCCTCCCTCTCTGTTTTTCCCCAATGCACAGCCGTTTTCCTCGTGTGGCGGGCCCCCGGGGCTCAGGGCCACCAATGCGCCTTGTGGAGCCTGTGGGCCGGCCTTCTATTCTTAAAGAGGATAACCTCAAAGAGTTTGACCAATTGGACCAGGAGAATGATGATGGCTGGGCAGGTGAATATTGAGTATTTCCATCTTAAAAAGTAAAGTCTGATGAAGAAATGGTGGGTCATGTGAGAGAAAAGCAGATGTCCAAGGGCTGAAGGAGGGATGGGTGACAAAGCTAAATGTCGGAGTCCTGAGAGGGGTGAGAGTGACAGGACCCGGGTGCTGACGGCGGAGCCTCCTGTTCCCGCCTGTTTGCTGCTTGTTTGGGGAAGGTGGCTGAGGCTGGAGAGCAGACTGCTTCGTCTACTTACTGTCCATTTTCTTTTACCTCAGGGGCCCATGAGGAGGTCGACTATACTGAAAAGCTCAAGTTCAGTGATGAGGAAGACGGGCGAGACTCTGATGAGGAGGGAGCTGAGGGCCAGTGAGTTAGGGCACCAGAGGAGATGAGGGCCCCGGTTTTACTCATGGTGTAATGAGTCCTAGAAGGGCTAGGTGCAGCTGCCCTTAACTGTACTGTGGTCTGCCTACAGCAAGGATTCCCAGCCAGCTGCTGGAGAGGACCCTGAAGCAGATGGCAAAAAGGGCACCTCCCCTCGCACTGAGCCGCCCCC